GCCCCCCTCCCCCACCCAGTCTCTCTCTCTCTGTCTCCCTCTCTGTGTCTCTGTCTCTCAATCTCTCTCTCTCTCTCAGTCTCTCTCTGAGTCTCTCTCTCTCTGTCTTTCTGCTTTGCCTCTCGATCTCACTCTCTCAGCCAATCGCTCTCTCAGTCAATCTCTCTCTTTCAGTCTCTCCCTCTCTCTGTCTCTCTCTCTCTCTGCCTCCAGTCCCTATCTCTCTCTCTTTCTCGCAGTCTCTCTGTCTGTCTCTCTCTCTCTTTCTCTCTCAGTCTCTGTCTCTCTTTCTCTGTCAGTCTGTCTCTCTCTCTCGCTCCCCCCTCCTCTGTGTCTTTTCTCTCTGTCTGCCTCCCTTTTCTATCTCTCTCTCATTCTCTCTCTCTCAGTCTCTCTCTGTCTCTTTCTCTCTCTGTTTCTCTCTCCCTCTCTCCTCTCTACCTCTGCCTCTCCCTCTCTCTGTCTCTCTCTGCCTCCCGTCTCTATCTCTCTGTCTTTCTCTCTGTCTCTCTCTCTCTCTGTCTTTCTCTCGCAGTCTCTCTCTCAGTCTCTCCCGAGGTCTCTCTCTGTCTCTCTCCCTTTCTCTCTCTTGTGCTGTCTCTCTCTCCCTTTCTCTCTCTCTCTCTTTCTGTCCCTCTCTCTCTGTTTCTGTCTCTCTCAGTCTCTCTCTTTCAGTCTCTCTGTCTATCTATCTCTCTCCTCTCTCTGTCTCCCATCTCTATCTCTCTCTCTCAATCTCTCTCTCCCCCTCTCTCTTTCTGCTTCCCCAGTCTACCTCTGTCACTCAGTCTCTCATTCTCCCTCTCTCTCTCTCTATCTCTCAATCTCTCTCTCTCTGTCCCAGTCTCTCTGTCCCAGTATCTCTCTCTCTCTCAGTCTCTCTCCCTCCCAGTCTCTCTGCTTTGCCTGTCTATCTCACTCTCTCTCTGTCACTCTGTCTCAATCTCTCTTTCTCTCTGTTTCTAACTGAGTCTCTCTCTCTCTCTTTGTCTCTCTCTCACAGTCTCTCTCTCTCTCAGTCTCTTTCTTCCAGTTTCTCTCTCTCTCTCCCTCAGCCTCTTTCTTTCAGTTTCTATCGCTCTCTCTCTCAGTCTGTCTCTCTCTCTTTCTCTCAGACTTTCTCTCTGTCTCTCTGTCTCTCTCTTTCCCTCTCTCTGTCTCTCTCTTTCTCAACCTCTCTCTCTGCCTCCCCTCTCTATCTCTCCCTCTCTGTCTGTCTCCCCTCTCTATCTCTGCCTTTCTCTCTGCCTCCCCTCTCTATATCTCTCTCTTGCTCTCAGTCTCTCCCTCAGTGACTCTTTCTCTCAGTCTCTCTCTCCCCCTCCCTCTCTGTCTCACCCTCTCCCTCTCACTCTGTCTCTCTCTCTCTCCGTCTCTCCCTCTCTCTATCACACCTTCTCCCTCTCTGTCTCTCCCTCTCTCTATCCCCCTCTCGCTCTCTCTCTCTCCCCCCTCCCTCTCCCTCTCTCTCTCTCTCTTTCCCTCTCGCTCTTTCTCTCTGTCTCCTGTCTGAAGCTTGTGTCCTGCAGATATGTCTATCTCCCACAGGAGCGCCTGTCCCATTCGCCAAGCCCAGGACGGGTAGGGGATTTTGCATTTCGATAGTGTCTGTTGGTTGAGTTGATGGGACCAGAGCGAGGTGGGAGGACGGTTTTAGGTGTGGGTGTCATGCCAGAGGCAAGGGGGCTGTTTTAAAAAATGGACGGGGTGGGATGCCAACCCAAACGGGCAAAGGCTGTCTGTGCCAACAGTCCCACAGTGCCCCAGCAACTGAGCGATGGGGTACAGTTCCCCAGTCACTGACTCTCAATGGGGCACAGTTCCCCAGTCACTGACTCTCAATGGGGCACAGTTCCCCAGTCA